ACAAATAAATATATATATATAAATGGGGAATATCGCACTTCTGACAATCGCTGCAAGTGTGTGGGCTAAATTTGGAGAATCCGTGCTTCTCGCATGGACAACTGTATGCAGCCAGCGTCGGAAAACCTTCTGATTCGTGTACGCACCATACGGAAAAACAAAGAATATCGTGTATCCACAAGCACTCCAATAAATAAATAGAATTGAAACGACACTTTGAAATGTTTTCCCGATGAAAATGAATAACAATATAATAATAATAAGTTTCAATAAAAATGATAAAATGTAAATTGAATTTTTATTATAACAAGTTTGCTTGAATTTCGTTTCTTCTGAGATCACAACAATGCGCGACGGGTAAGCTAGTGTTTACTAAAAAAAAAGTCCTGAGAAAAATGTTGACTGTCGTCTAAATCAGCGTTTCTCAAAGTGGGCGATGGAGGCTTTCAGGGGGCAGTAGAAGGCTCAGTGATTAAATATTAGTTTTATTTCTTCTCATTGAAACATTCTTTGATCTCAGAAATAGGATATGGGTCACATCCTCTCTATCCTATCCATATAATAATGCATGTTTAAACATTATATTTGCAATAACTGTTTTTAAGATATGCAATAGATGGTAATGTAAAAAGGTAAGTTAAAAATATGGGGCACTAGATTTTTTTTAATCTCAAAATGGGCGGTGGTCGAAATAAGTTTGAGAACCTGTGGTCTAAATTGTCATAAGTTTTTACTTGGCGCTATTTTTTGCATCTCAATACTTTTGTTTTGATTTTCAATTACTGTAATCCCTCTCTATATGCTTGCGCATGTCAGAGGCAAACCAAATGAGTGATATGTATAATGGCGTAATACAACAAATCCATCTATCTGTTTTACCTATTTTTGGTCTCCATATCGACTTGTTTTTTTGGGGGGGGGGAATTATATTTCATACAATGGTAGTTTTATGTCAATGATTGGAATAAGATAATATTTCTTTGCTAGTGGAAATTCTATGGCAACTGATTTTAAAAAATTAGTGGTTAACGCTCTTTTATATTTGAAAACGAGAAAAAAAGAAAACACAATATAATATATCCGAATGGCGGCCGGATGGCCGAGCGGTTAAGGTGGCAGCCTACCGCTCTGGGGGACCGGGCTCGAATCCAGAGGGAATCCCCAGAAATTTTTCGGGGGGTGGTCCGTTCGGATATGTCGGGCTCCGTCCCTCACCACCCGGCCGCCTCATTGTGGGCGTGCTATAAGAGACCCTGTTAGTGCCCACAGGGTGAAAAAAGAGTGTATATATATATTTTCCTATATAGAATATAGGAAAATGAAACAATAGATGAATAATGTAAAGTTAAAAGTGTAAAAGTGAAATCTTTCATTGTTCTATTATAAATGTCAAATGAGTTGATCAATTCCCCTCAATTCTATTGATTTGAAAGCATTTATACGTTTCAAGCGGGATAATTCTTAGAGAGATTGCAGCCGACGTTTTCAACGCAAAAACGTGTACATCGGATGTTCAGCGCCGCTTTCCTAAAGGCCTAGAAGTTTGGCAATGGTGTTTGGGACGTCGAGCACGATTCCACTGACTATCCAAACACCATTGTCAAACTTCTAGGCTTATAGGAAAGCGGCGCTGAACGTCCGACGTACACGTTTTCGCGTTGAAATCGTCGGCCGCAACCTCTCTCTTATCAATTAATTCAGGATGGTAAAAGTTGTAATATGCAGAGAAATACTTCAAATTTTAACTTGATCAAGCAAATTGAACTATTATATTTAGATGTTCAATTCGCGATCAAATCAATTAAATTGATAAAATTACAATGGTTTAACCCAAAAAATTCTCTAGAATTTTTCGACCTTCCGTATTCGATTCCAAATAAATACAATTGCCATCTTCTTTACATCAAATTAATTTTTATTTTATTAAAAAATTCACTAAAATAGGATTTAAAATTTCTTTATATACATAATTTTAATTTGAAATCATTTAAAACAAAACATTAAATCTATAAATCAATATTAAAAAAAAAAACAGTATCATAGTTGATGAAAGTAATTTTAAAAATATTTTTAAGCAAAATTGTATAACAAATATACAAACGATATGTGAATCTAATTAATCAATTCAGAAATCGGAAATTAATAATTTCCCTATACTAGAAAGCCAGCAGGGGGTCCAATTGATGTACCGATTCGATGGAGTGCGAAGGACATTTAATTGAATCGTGGTAGTTTGGAAGTGTTAAGGAAGTTCTCGTGGGTAAACTTTTGTTATATATTTTAAATAAAGACTTCCATGTTATAATATATACGAATATGTTGCGATTTACAAGTATTTCATTGAGAAAAATTACTAATGAATTAGTAATAGCTCCTCGACGTCTTTCCAAAGTTTCGTCTATTTTACTTTCGCGGAATTACTCGGATCACGAAATTCCTGAAAGTATAAAATATGTGGAAGAAGCGGACGATCCGTCATTTTTTCACATGGTCGAATATTTTTATCATCGCGGATGGCAAGTTGTTGAAGACAAATTAGTTGAAGAATTTAAAGGAAAATTGTCTTTGGATGAGAAGAGAAAGAAGGTTAGAGGTTACCTAGGTATTATAGGACCGTGTCATCAAGTTCTCGAGGTATCTTTTCCACTCAGGCGGGATAATGGAGATTATTGTATGATAAATGGCTGGCGTGCACAACATAGTCATCATAGAACACCTTGTAAAGGAGGTAATATCTCTAAAATTTGCTTCTAATTCCTTTAAAATTTCCAAGACTATAAATAAATATGATTTAGAAGATTCTAAATATTAAATGTTACAATTATAATAGAAATAATAATTTCAAATACAGGCTATCGAATAATTTCAATTGGAAGAGATTGTTTCATTTTTATTAAATTATATATTTATTTATATACTTTTCAAGTAAATTAAATTATGTCTATCATTTTATTTTTGTGCTTATTATGATTATTTAAGTTTTTGCTGTTTATTTAATTTAATCAATAACAATTTCTGCAACAAACATTAAGCATGAAGGAAAACTATTATTAAATAATATTTATATTCAAAGGAAATGCATTGTAGTTAAGAGTAATACATTTGGGTATGATATTTGTCCTCTGCACTTATATCCAAACTTATAAATTAGTAACAATTAAAATTTTATGTTGAATTTGTATAATATATGTACAGTATATAAAAGTAAATTTTTAAAACTTCATCTGTAATGTTAGTCGTCAAAATATTTATTCACATATTGTATACTGTACAGTAATACCCCAACTTATGCGAACACGGAGTTACACGATTCTCAAATCTCGTCAATTTGTCTTTTGTTTGAGCACCACGCAACTCTTGATTACTCACTCCACCCACACTATTGTTCGGCTTACATGTTCGGACGTGTTGCACGGAATCAACATATAGCTACAATTTATTTTGTGTTATTTATTTCTGTGTTTGTTATATTTACGGAAACTTGAGAGACTCTACTATGTCATCCAAACAAAGTAGAACTGATTCTTCTGCATCAAACAAGAAAAAAATTTTATCTTTGGATTGTAAAGTTAACATTATTAAAGACTTCAATACAAAAATGAAAATTTGTGAATTGGCAAAGAAGTTTGATATACCGGAATCGACGGTCAGAACAATTATAAAAGGTAAAGAAAAAATTCTCAAAGCTGTGAAAAATGTTCAATCTTTAAATTCAAGCATCATTCATAAACTTCACAGTATTATTGCTGAGATGGAAACAATGTTAAAATTATGGTATGATGATCAAGTAAATGTGAAAAATTGTATAATAATATAATTTGTTATACATATGTATTATCTAAGATTTTATTAAACATTTTTTTCTAAATTATTGTTTTCTTTAGTCTCCGGCCCAATTAAAAAATATTTGTTANGATGGAAACAATGTTAAAATTATGGTATGATAATCAAGTAAATGTGAAAAATTGTATAATAATATAATTTGTTATACATATGTATTATCTAAGATTTTATTAAACATGTTTTTCTAAATTATTGTTTTCTTTAGTCTCCGGTCCCAATTAAAAATTATTTGTATGTATTTAAATGTGAAATTATACCCCGACTTACGCAGTTATCTCTCGGTCCCACCTATCACGTAAGTTCTGGGTATTACTGTATATATCTAAGTATTTTCATTGACTTCTAAATGTGATATCTTCAGTACAGAAATGAAATATTCAATTGTTGTTATTGAAACAAAACATCTTCAGAGCAAGAATATTAACATCTCTTTTTAAAGATATATTATCTTTTACTAATTTTTATAAAATTCATGAAAATAAAGCCTAATGATGATTTTGTTTAAGTTGTTTTTTACAATATCTGAAAACAAAGTAAACATCTTAAGATATTCTTAAGTCATTTGATATTTGTGAAAAAAAATTAAATAAAATATATGAACCAACATTATTAAGATGCTGTTTTATTGGATTAATATATACATATCTGAAGACCTTCATCTGTAATTAACTTGTTCAGATGTATAAATATTTGCAAAAAAAATCTTTACTTGAATGACTCATTTTTTAACTTCTGCAATTATTTATTTAAAAATTGATCATATTTACAAAATGTAATTGTCAAATTTTTCAGATCAGATAAGCAGAAAAAATAATCTAAATCCCATCTAACCCTGATTAAATTAATAGAAGACAGTTGTCCAAGTTAGTGGGATGTTTTCTTTTATGACATGGAAAATGAGAATGGATATAAAGTACATTAATTATTATGATCAGCTGTCTACAGACATTTTCCTGAGCTGTGGTTTATCAAACTGTTTTTTGTTTTTAACCTCTCTCTTATCAATTAATTCAGGATGGTAAAAGTTGTAATATGCAGAGAAATACTTCAAATTTTAACTTGATCAAGCAAATTGAACTATTATATTTAGATGTTCAATTCGCGATCAAATCAATTAAATTGATAAAATTACAATGGTTTAACCCAAAAAATTCTCTAGAATTTTTCGACCTTCCGTATTCGATTCCAAATAAATACAATTGCCATCTTCTTTACATCAAATTAATTTTTATTTTATTAAAAAATTCACTAAAATAGGATTTAAAATTTCTTTATATACATAATTTTAATTTGAAATCATTTAAAACAAAACATTAAATCTATAAATCAATATTAAAAAAAAAAAAAAAAAA